GCCTGATATTGTGTAGGCTTCATACAGTCAACAGTAGAAAATTATTTTGATACTTTTCTAAGAAAAAGTAAATTAAAACAGTAAACCCTAGTATGAGCCAAAATTGATTCTTTGAATGTTCTCAGGTGAAATGAACAACAGTGAAACTAACACAGAGAGTTAGTTAGCAGCTAACAGTCAAAAGTTAAATAGCCTAGCCTTAAGAACGCCGAACGTTACACTGAACAGGAACATGAGATAAAAAGGGTGATTTATGGTGGAGAATAAATTAGTTACTGAAATAAACTAGGTGATCAAACTGGTCCGGACAAAGCACCAAGTATAAGGCACCTGACTCAATCTAATATGCACTACCGTGCGTTTTGTGAAATGTGCCTATAGCAAGTGTGAAACAGTGCCAAAATTCCCTAATGGCTGAGAGTGGTATCACAGGGACTTGATTGCAAAGGTGCCACAGACACTGGTTCAGGAGGACTTTCAGCTCAGGAGTCACTATTGAAACAGTTTGGTTAGAAAAATCATAGTGCAAAACACATTGATATGGAAGTTCAGAGCAGTAAAATGCAGTAGAAAAACATTTTTGAGTTTAGTTCTTTTTGGTTTGGTGATATCAGTGTGATGCAGAACCTGTGACTGGATTTAGATTTTTATATGATTTCTAAATCAGTCAGTTTCTTGCAGACTTTTCTTTGGAGATGCATTTATTGTTCCAAACACAATACTAACTTGCAAGAGTGGAAATGCATTGCTTTATTTAACCATTCCCGTTATACCAATCATTGGTTAGCTGACAGTTTAAAGACAATTATCTAAGCCAAATAGAAGTTCCCATAAATCACATGTACTTTATTTGAATCTGTTTTGTCTTTGCTCTAAGCTTAGTCTGTTTTGCATATTTTGTTACCAACAATGCCTCATTTCATCAAACCTTGACAGAAAAGTTTAAGGAAGAGGCTTTAATTGAATAGGTTTTACTTACAAGAAGAGTTCTCCGGATCGTTAATCCAGATTAAAGAGCTCCTTTGCTGACTGTTTAATGGTCGTTACAAGAAGTTTTGGAACAGGTTGTGGGAATGGGTCGTATCACTGTTAGCCAAGTCTGATTTATTCAGTACTATGAAACCTCACAGTACTGATTTATTCAGTACTGTGATGTTTCATTAACTGTTGAGGAGTTAATTTTTATTGCTTGGATCTTGTCCCAGTTTTTCTGTTCACCTCATAATTTAAATTCTCATGTTGTTGTGTTCTGCATGCAAAACATAATCAGATTTTATGAAACATTAAAAGCAACACATATTGTTTCGCTAAGCCTTTACCAGACAAGCTGTTGTTCCACCTCATCTTTCATAAACTGTACAAACATAAAAGGTTCACTCTGTGCTAACTGCATAGATCTTAAAAAACCTGAAAGAAAGAAAAAAAATTTAAATGAATTTACTTTTTGTTTGTTGTGTGGTTGGTTTGTTACTTTTAGTATTTTCAGTTATCTAAGAGTCCTTGAGTGGTTTGAAGAAAACAGTAGTGGAAATGGCTGAAAATTGGACTAAGACTGAATTTGCTGCAAGTAAAATGTTCATGTTATGAAATGTTATTTATTTAGTAAATAATAAAAAGTAGTGGGGAAAAGTAGTTGACCGGCAATCAGAAGGTAGGCAGTTCTTTCTCACGTCAACGTGTGCACTCTATTTATCATTTAACTTCCATCCATCTTCTTCCGCTTATTTTGTCAGGGTTGCTGTAGGGCCAGTGTCTATCTCCGTTGGTTTATAGGCAAGAGGCAGGATACACCAGTCTTATGCAGGGCTACACAGAGACGCACGAAAACATACAACCATGCACACACACAGACACACACACACACACACACACACACACAAAGTAAGGACGATTAACCTTACACATTACATGCAAACTCCATGCAGAAAAACCACAGACTGGGAATTAAACCAGGAACCTTCTTGTTACAAGGCACCAGTGCAAACTGTGCTACCGTGCAGCCCACCCATTAAATTAAAATATCAAATCAAACACCACATGATACTGAAAATAAAGTTGGAAAAATTATAATGAAATGTCCTAATTTTGCCTGTTTTTGTTGCAAAGCTGTATTGGCCCCTGGAACAGTTTGACTATTAACTGTCTGATGATTGAAGCGATGCATCATTAGCCGTGTTTTCAAAAGCTGAAAAGCTTCTGCAAATTAGATGTTTCAATCAACTCAAGTGACTTAACAAGGCCTGGCAAAGCCTAATGTTCTCAGACATCACACTGTAATAAACAGGAAGTAGAGTAAGCAAACTACTGTGGACTACAGGTTGGTGATGGACAGAGGTTTAAATATGATAAATGTAATAAATAAAAAGTATGTTGCATTTGATTTTTCTTACTTTATCACGTCAGCTAGTATTGCAAAGGTTCATGCCATCTAGAAACATGAGAGAAGTGTGTTTCTAATGCTGCATTCAGGACGCCAGCGGAGGCGGAACCAGATGATCAG